AAAAAAATCCACATATAAGTGTACCCAAGCAGTTCAAACTAATGTTGTTCAAGTCAACTGTATAAAAGGTATTAATATGTCTGGAAAGAGATATCTTTCCAATTTAACAGACACTACCAGTGAGAAGAGTTGGGCTAGGCAGGAAACTTCAAATTTTTTCTGTATATATTCTATTTGTATCTCAAATTATAACCTGTAGATCACGTTTATTAGAAGAAAATGCGGATTCCTGAAACTTCCTGCAGACCCCATAAGTGACAATCTCAGGGGGTTGGAGTTCCAGAATCTGCTTTTTTTTTTCATAGATATTTCCTTGTCATTCTATTTGAGTTTCAGTAGCACTGCTCATCAGTTGTTTGGGGTTCTCTCTCCTTTACCAACATATTCTTGCAAAACTAACCAAACACACACAAAGCGCAAACAGTACAACAGTGCACTGCACCTTCACGACCCTTACCTCTTCTAGCCTCTTCCTACCTCTTCCACATGCGATACATGTGTACATACCCACAGACGGAAACACAGAGATGTGTTTGGAAGCCAGTGTGGATGCCCTGTGATCTGTGTGTACATGTGACACGTGCATACACATGCACATACAGGAACACAGAGAAGTGTTTGGAAGCCAGTGTGGAATCCCTGTGATCTGTGCATACACATGTGACACATGCACACACACCCACATACAGGAACACAGAGACACATTTGGAAGCCAATGTGGATGCCCTGTGATCTGTGCATATACATGACACAGGCATACACACCCACTGACAAGAACACAGAGATGTGTTTGGAAGCCAGTGTGGATGCCCTGTAATCTGTGTGTATGCACGTGACACGTGCATGCACACCCACTGACAAGAACAGAGAGACACATTTGAAAGCCAGTGTGGATGCCCTGTGATCTGTGTGTACACATGTGACATGGCATACACACCTACAGACAGAAACGCAGAGATGCATTTGGCAGTCACTGTGGATGACCTGTCATCTGTGTGTACACATAAGACATGTGCATACACACCCACATACAGGAACACAGAGACACATTTGGAAGCCAATGTGGACACCCTGTGATCTGTGCATACACGTGACACATGTGTGCACACCCACAGACAGGAACACAGAAACACATTTGGAAGCCAGTGTGGACAACCCATGATCTGTGCATACACATGTGACAGATGCATACACACCCACTGACAAGAACACAGAGGTGTTTGGAAGCCAGTGTGGACGCCCTGTAATCTGTGTGCACACACGTGACACATGCATGCACACCCACTGACAAGAACACAGAGACCCATTTGGAAGACAGTGTGTGTGCCCTGTGAGCTGTGTGTACACATGTGACACGGGTGTACACACCTACAGACAGAAACGCAGAGATGCATTTGGAAGTCATTGTGGATGCCTTGTCATCTGTGTGTACACATGAGACACGTGCATACACACCCACATACAGGAACACAGAGACACGTTTGGAAGCCAGTGAGGATGCCCCGTGATCTGTGCATACACATGACACGTGCATGCACGCCCACAGACAGGCACACAGACACATTTGGAAGCCAGTGTGGATGTCCCGTGATCTGTATGTACCTATGTGACATGTGTACACATTCACTAACAAGAACATGGAGACGCATTTGGAAGCCAGTGTGGACGCCCTGTAATCTGTGCATACACACGTGACACGTGCATGCACACCCACTGACAAGAACATGGAGACCCATTTGGAAGGCAGTGTGGGTGCCCTGTGATCTGTGTGCACACGTGACACGTGAATGCACATCCACACACAGGAACACAGAGACACATTTGGAAGGCAGTGTGGATGCCCTGTGATCTGTGTGTACACATGACACATGCATGCAAAACCACTGATAAGAACACATAGATGCATTTGGAAGCCAGTGTGGATGCCATGTAATCTGTGTGTACATGTGACACGGGCATACACACCTAAGACAGGAACACAGAGACATGTTTGGAAGCCAGTGTGGACACCCCATGATCTGTGTGTACACGTGACATGTGTGCACACCTACAGACAGGAATATGGAAACACATTTGGAAGCCAGCGTGGACACCCTGTGATCTGTGCGTACACATATGACACATATATGCACACCCATGGACAGGAAGAGAGACACATTTGGAAGCCACTGTGAATGCCCGTACACGTGTGACACATGCATGCACACCCACAGACAGGAACACGGAGACACTTTTGGAAGGCAGTGCGGACGCCCTGTGATCTGTGCCCACACACGTGAGACATGCATACACACCCACTGACAAGAACACGGAGATACGTTTGGAAGCTAGTGTGGATGCCCTGTAATCTGTGTGTACACACGTGACATGTGCATGCACACCCACAGACAGGAACGCTGAGACACATTTGGAAGCCAGTGTGGATGCCCTGTGATCTGTGCATACACATGTGACACGTGCGTGCACACCCACAGACAGGAATACAGGCACATTTGGAAGCCAGTGTGGACGCCTGTGATCTATGCATACACGTGACACATGTGTACACACCCACAGACAGGAACACAGAGACACATTTGGAAGCCAGTGTGGACACCCTGTGATCTTTGCGTACACATGTGACATGTGCGTGCACACCCACAGACAGGCACACGGAGACACTTTTGGAAGCCAGTGTGGACGCCCTGTGATCTGTGTGTACACGTGACACGTGCATACACACCCACAGACAGGAACACAGAGACGCATTTGGAAGCCAGTGTGGACATCCTGTGGTCTGTGCACACCCACATACAGGAACACACAGAGGCGTTTGGAAGCCAGTATGGGCAGACAGGCCCTATCCCAAAGCGGCCAGCAGGCGTCTCCCAAGAATGGTTCTTGGACACACCTCTGTGAAAGGAAAATACAACTCGGCACCGCAATTGACTCAGCCAAAGGAAAAAAACCTAAGCTGAAAGCTGAGTCCTGCCCGAAGGAGCCTTTCCTTTGGCGCCTGAGCCGAGGGCTTCAGGGTGAGGGTTGCGCATCGCAGCGAGGCCGGCTGTCTTCCCGTAGCTTCCCTAAGGCGACGGCTCCCGCTGCTCCTTTCCGTCGGCCACGCGGGTCACACCGCCTTCCCCTCCCGCCCACCCTGAGGCGCTGAAGCCCTCGACGCCATCCTCGGGAGAGGCGCGGCCCGTTTCTGATTCCCGTTTCCTTCCTCCAGGAGCGTCCTTCACCGTGGCCAAATCAGCCTCTCAATTGCTGGAGTCTGGCCTCAGGCACTTCTCGGCTTACGCCGCCATACAGTGGCGCACCCCGAAACCGACAGCTCGGCTGACCTTGCGCACCCGCACTCTCCAAGGCAGGACCCGGTCCGGGGAGCTGGTTTTGCCAAGGCGAGGGGCGCGGGGCAGCCCAGGCGGCGGGATGGACACCCCGAGAGCGCGTAGTCTCCAGCGGGACGGGGCTTCCAGGACCCGGAAGAGGTCCAGGACTCTCCGCGGACGCCCGGCGGTCGGCGGAGGGCCGCGAGGCAGGAGGGAGTGGAGATGGCTGCCCCAACTCGGGCAGCGCGGAGCCCACCCAACGCCCTCCTCGGCCCTCGGCTCTTCTGGGGCCGTCCCGCCCCTGCACCAGGGTCTAGTGCCTTTCCGGTTAGCCTCGGAGACCCTGGCCGAGCAGTGTCCGTTCGCCTGGCTGGGGGGCCTCAGGACATTATTTCTGGGTGACAGCCCGCAGGGCCTTCCGCCCCTCGCGACCTCTCGGGAGCCCCTTCCCCGACGCCCGCGGGGCTGCAGGGGCCGCAGGTTCGGTCTCGCGGCCTCCTTTCCGCAGTCCGCCCAGCTCTAGGCTAGTGTGCTTTAATTACGTCAATAATATGACTCCGGCGATCCTGTGCGGCTTGGGAATGCGGCCGTGGGCGGCGGAGTCCAGGCGGAGTCGGCTCTCCACGCGCGAGGGCGCCTCCTCCTCACCTCTCGCCGGGTTCAAAGCTCGCGCCTCAGGCGACG